TTGTTAAGATACTCAGAGCAGCTTTATCAGTGAAATTATGAGATATTGCACTTTTTTTAAAAAAAAAATCATTTATTAATCTTTCGCTCTCCGAGAAACGAGACAACACGTATCACGAGCCAACCCGTGTGCAACGTACACATACGTGTCATTTGAACGTGTTGTTCCGTATGACGTGATATAACGTGCCACCCCTTGCCGTGCCATTTTTACCGTGCCATTCCGTAAAACGTGCCTATGCGTGCCACACAATTCGGGCCACTCCGTACATTCCCGAAACCAACCCGTACCACAACCCGTACCACATTTCTTATAGGGTAAGATGTACCCCATCGGCGCTTATAAACAATGTTCGAAATTAGTGTTCTCAAAGTGCTCATGAGAATATATTTTAAATATTTGTGCACAATGAATTTTCTCAATGTTCTCTATCTAAAATTTTTGTGGACATTAAAATAAAAATATTGTTTTCTAATATGGACTATAAGTTTGGCAAAATGAAATTTTTATATAATATAAAAAAATTTTATTTTTTTTATTTTTTTGTGAACATGAACCAGGTGTTAACAAAAGCATAGTTTTAGCGTTAGTAGTTAGTAATTCTAGGACTAATATAGCTATCTTTATTTCTGAACTCAAGAAATAATACTTTATGACACGGCAGTCTTATTTTACAAAGCTCGAAGCGTTAATTGCTCATAAGCATATTTTTATGAAGAGAGGAACAAATATTATAACGTTTAAAACTTTACATCTTTCTATGGGTGTCACAATTTACGCACTATAAAGTGTATTAAATTGACAGCTCGCTCACAACACTTTTATTTCGTGACTACGGAAAAACAATAATTGCCGATATAGGTTTGTTATATCCATTTCTATCCGTAAAAAAACAGATCACACGATCAGGTAAAAATTAAAAGAAAGCGAAAAATTTCTTGTAATTCTCGAAATTTAACTATGAAACAGTTTCTACGTTCTAGTTAAAGTGTTCCTGTGGAGAAATCATCAACTTTAACCATTGAATTCTGGTGACAATTATAACCATAAATACAAATTTTTGCTAACCAAATTTCGTACGTACAGAAAGATCTGATTTTACACTGTATATACATCTAGAAGTAACCATCTCTAAATTCTTACAGTATCAATCAAAGTATAAATTATATGTTAGATGTTTTCTTAACAGAAATTCTACGTACTGTATTTGTACACTAGTATACAAGGGTACTCGTAATACTTAAAATTTTGCTTATACCCCTATTTTTTTGGGATTTAACGAAAAAGATTTCTTGCCAAATTTTAGTATAACTATGTGTTATTTAAACCTTAAACCCTAACTTAATTTGATTTAATTTAATTTTTTGCCTTTAAAATTTTGTGTTATCGTTACATGGATCTACAAATTATAATACTGTAAATTAAGAAATTTTCTTTAAAAATTATAATAATTTCTATTGGTGTATACTGTATTTAAAAAAAAATTTTATTCAAAAGAAAAAAAATACTGTCTTCTACTGCAAAACTGCAAATAGGCATTATTATAATATTACTGTATATATCCAAATCTAAAATAACTATATAGTTATTATTATTTATAAATCTAAAAATTACTATATACACTATATACAGTATTACTTTAAATCTAAAAATTACTACACTATATATCTAAAAATTACTACAGTTATTATTATTCATAATTGATAAATTATACAGTATATAAAATGTAAAATTTTACAAGTAAATTGAATTTACAATACATATATCGATATGCTATTAGTTATTCAAAGATCGAATACGTATTGAAATTTTAGTATTAATTAATTTAGTATTTGAATGTCGCCAAGTTGCAGAAGTGAAAACCAGCAATTATAAAAATAGATTATTGTGAATTGACTTTTATAATAATCTATTTTTAGAATTGACAGTTTTCACTTGGTAATACTTATTTGAAATGTTCTAGCAAATGATTATTTAATCAACACAAAAAATTTTAGAACATACAGTATCAGTAAATTTTGGTTCTTTAAATAACAAATTAGACATATTTTAAATATTGATTAAATTTATTTGAACGTTAAAAATAACAATTCTTTAACTATTTAGAATATTATATGCAATACCGATACGTAGAAATAAATTTTATATCTAATTATAGTATTACATGAATGCAACCATTTTTTCAAGACCTTTTCTATGTAATAATGATTTAAGTACTGTACGTACATTTTGATTAACAATGCTCGATTTTAGTCAATTCAATTTTTATTTTATTTTATTTTATTTTATTTTTGTTCATTCTTATTTTTTTTCTTCGTTTTTTATACATAGCTGCACTTCTTCCGTGCATTCTGCAGACGAAGGCAGTGTTGATCGCAAGAATATCTATTTTTCAGAGTGTAATTAGGAATGTGCATTTGATAAGGTCAATAAGGTCAAATGCGAATTTGCAAAGTTGGTCATGATAAGTAACTATAACTTCTAAGGCTATCTCATTTACTTGATCATTCCGGTAAATTTTTAAGTCCGTTTTTTTTTTTTTTGAAGTCGATCCTTGATTCAATGAATTCATAATTTCTATTTTTGTCCGTTACTTGATACAAACACGCATATACAAACCTTTATTCCGGCGACAAAGGTGATATCATAGAGTTTCGGATAGAGACATACAAGTTTCTTGGCAGATAGAAAAATCTATTCTGAAATATCACAATTAAATATATGTATTCTTTTAATATTGACAAGAATGTACGTACGTACGTACGTACGTACTTTTACAGTTTATCAATCTGATCTAATATCACGTAAACATTCCGTTAAATAATTTATCGATAACGATAAGCGTTACTACGTACAGTACTTGGCAAGTGACCGCACAGGTAAGGAGAAGAAACAACAGTACTCCGTTAACAACACTACTGTAATGTATGCAATTGCAAAACAATGCACGCATACACATCGAAAACAATACTTGTACTAGTATACTAAGGAGATAAATGCATGCTACACTAAAGAAAAAAATTTCCATTGTTGTAATGTTTATTTATTAAGGGTGAAATTATGGACCAACTAATTCGACTATTGCAGTTAAAGCATCAACCAAATTTGTATAATTGTAATATTTGCAATTAATTTAACAAATAAATTAGTAAAATTGTCTCTCTTTTATGGTTACAATAAAAAGATGACAAGAATAAAATAATAAATAACACTCAAACATAAATTATAAAGGGGATTTTTTTTTTTTTATTAACGAAAAGACTTTAAATACTTTAAAATGTAAACAATTGTACGACATATTACATTCTTTAAAGCATTAGTTTTTTTTTGTTTTTGATGTTTTTGTGTTATAGCATGCAGTTTCCCCTTGCACCAATTCAGGAAATGAAATCTTTAATAACCTCCAAGGTCGAACATCACCACGCCCACTATCTGGTCGAATACATAAATTTTGTTCCTCATTTTTCTTATGTATTATTTTTCGATAGTGTTAAACCACGAAATAGGAATAAACGACCATGGTACAATTACGATCACATCCACAAGTTTTTAAAGCAATAAAGATTTTTCAATGGTTTATGACTTTAACAATTTTGATTTTGGGTACGTATCTTTATTGTCTCAGGAAGAGATAAAAAAAAAAGGATGAAATTTACAGTATTTTATATTTTACAGTATTTTTTATATTTGAATTTTTTTTTTTTTTTTAAATGTTCGGTTTTGCAGAAGTGTTGCAGTTTGTAGCCTACTGTCAGTATCTCTCACAAATCAATAGCACTCTTCCAACAACTTCGTTTTTCTATAGACATTACGTGTAAATATACAATCTTTGAATTATGAAATTATAAACAAATAAATGAAAAATAAATTAATTTTTTTTTTATAGTTACAGTGATATTTATATTGGAGAAGTTAAATATTTCTTCTATATTGTAATCTTTGTTACATTGTTCGGACTTGGTATGTTTAAATAAATTTTCTCCCTTTCAAAAAAAAAAATATATATATTATATTTTTTTTCTTACTATTTTTTTTTTATATTTAGGATATTATTTATCGCAATTTCATAAACAATGGGGGCAAGGACCAAATATTATGATTGAACTGTAAGTGTCATTGAACGAGTACAGTATTAGTGATCTTTTTAATTATTAATTATATATATATATTTATCGTTTTTATCTTGCATTCTTATATTAGAGGCTTTTTTATTATATGGCTCATCGCTGGTGAGTACAAATATATTCACTGATAACGTGACCTTGACGATAACGATTAATGATAATAAATTAATAATAAACAAAAAATCATTTAATTTATTTTAATTAGGACTCGCGAATTTAATTACAGTTTATACAGGATTTAATTTATCATGTACTAATGAAGAATCTCACGATCAATGCGTTTATTTTTCCGTATCACTTATTATGGGTTGGATGAATACAATCGCATTTTTAATAACAACCATTGTATGTAAAAAAATACAATGGGAAAAAGTAAAATGGGGTAAAGAAAGATCGGGATTCACCAAAGAACAACAAAAAGAATTCTTTAATCAATCAGTTACCAATCCTGATAAATTAAATCAAACTAATAATGATAGTATTTCAATTAATTCTCGTCAAATAACTACCCCTAATTCGTTAAAAACAACTCCAAAACCGTTAAAAATTTCCCCCGAAATCGCTAATGTTAATGGTGGTAATATGAAAAGTCAACATAGAAGGCAAGAATCGGAGTTATATCCCGAAGAACCTTCAACTCCGGTAGTGTGCCAACAATTAATTCCTCAACAGCATTATCATCCGGATCAACGACAAGAATATGATATGGATATGGAGCACTCTCAACATCCTGCATATTCCTATCGCCCGGAGAATGATCAATACGAAGGATATCCTTAACATATCCTTAACATTTATATATAGGATAATCTTTTTTGTACTTTACATGTATAGACGTTAATTGATTATTATATTTAAAAAGAAAATGCTTTAGCATTTTTCTAATTTTTACTAGTTTTTTTTTTTTCATATATGAATATATATATATATATTGATATATATATATATATATATAAAATTCGTGTCTTTAATAAAAATATAAAAATATATACCATATTGATATTAATTTTACTATGTACGAACGTATCTTCGGTATTCGGATTTAATGTCCATATTTATATAACAAAGTATGAATTCGTCATGATGAAGTCATTATATTAACTTTCGATATCGATATGGGAATTTTTATAACGGAAATGTAGTGTTTTAAAATCTTGTCTGTTATAATTCTTTGAAAATATGTAGCCTTTGCAAAAACCCTTTACTTTAGTCAACAAGATTAGAAAATTGTATGTGCATACGTATCAAATATTTGAATTCTATATTTAGTTTAAACTAAAAAAAGTCTACGTATCAACATACGTAATAGGTAACGATAAATACATAAAACTGACCAATAACTGATATCTGATATAACGTACGTACGTACGTATAATTGTTTGCCAAAGACTTTATTTCTTTTAACGTGTCGGTATGTTTTTTTCTTACCTATTATTGTATTACTGTATCAGTTATATTGATCGTAAACGCATTTCTTTCTAATTTTTATCTCTTCCATAGCCATGACTATGACCATTGAAGAATCCACTTTACAAAATTTAATCCCTATTCCCTTAACTTTCGATTGTTTCGAAGAAATCTTGAGTCATCTAATAGACTCTCCTAGAACTCTTTACTCATGTATACTGGTCAACCGTCTATGGTGTCGGACTGCCATTCCTCTTTTATGGAGTCACCCGTTCGAAGTACACGGTTTTGGTGAACGATCTTCTGATATAATCCAAATTTACATCTCTTGTTTACCTGAAGACGAACGTCAACTTTTATTTGATGAAGGTCTAGATCTTCCTCCTTCTACTCCCCTTTTATTTGATTATTCAAAATTTTTACAAAGTTTTGATTCGGCTTTTTTTACTGGTGCTATAATGTCTTGGCTTTCAACTCGTGCAAATTACCGTCTAGATCCTGAAAAAGATGATGATCCTGATTTATGTACTTATACTTATCTTGTACAATGTGTAATAGGAAATTTATTATTTAGTCATAGTAAAGGATTAAGAGATTTAGATCTTGCTCATTTTGAAGATGATGATGATTCTTTAATAATTGACATTGCTACTTTTGATGATGCTAATAAAGCTTTATCAAGATTAGAAAATTTTCAATTTGATTATTCTGGTTGGAAATTAAATGATTTAGATGATGATAAATCTTCAGAAATTATTTCAAATTTATTTAATTTTATGGCTGATTGTTCTCATAATATTCAACATATTTATATTAATATTACAAATTTAGCTGGTAAAGATGATGAATTAGTTCAAATTGCAAAAAGTTTTAAAAGATTAATCGAATCTCAAAAAGGTGTTAGGGAATTAATTATTGTAGAATTTTGGAGTCCTTATGTTGCTGATATTTTATTTAATTCTTTAATTTGTCAATGTAATTCTTTAACTTTTTTAAAATTTCATCATTTAGATAGTGATCAATTTAGACTTTTATTACCTATTTTACCTATTCTCGTTAATTTAGAAACTTTACAATTTTTGGGTTTCGATTCTGATAATGATGATATTGATGATGTTGATAATAATAATATTGATAAAATGAAATCATTTATGGATCTTTCAACTGGTCAGATTAATATTATTCATTTATATTATCGTGATGAAAGATTACATATTGATACTCAAGATTTTATCATTCCTATATTACAAATGTCTAATAAGAATTTGAAATCATTATATTTGGAAGATGTCACTCCTTCTCTCATTCAACAAATTGGAAATAATTGTAGATATTTAACGCATTTATCCTTAACTTTGATTACTCCGGAAATTCCCGATTTATTATTTACTTTACTTAGATCTTTACAAAATTTGTTCCATTTTTCTTTATATAGTAATTCAACTGAGTGTCCTTTCCTTTCAACTGATAGTTTAACTCAATTTTCTGAGGCTATACCGGAACGTTTAAAATATTTTGGGTTTAAATTACATATTGATGCTTGTATACTGGAGTTCTTTTTAAATCAATGTAGAGCAAAATTACATGTATTAGCCATATATCGTTCAGAAATCGTTGATAATTTATTTCTAGATGTGTTGTGTAAGTATGCAAAAGAAATGGGATCCTTAAAGAAAATTTTGATTAATTGGGATGGTGTAATTGGTGGCAGAACGGATGATGATGAAAGTGATGATGCATTTAGTGGTGATGATGATTTTGAGAATGGTGTGGATGGTATGAAGGAAAAAATTGATGTGTTGAAAACGATGGTAAATGTTATTTATGATGTCGTTGATCCTTCACATCCATTCTCTGGGTACGTCTTTTCTTTTTTTTTTTTTAAAAAAAATATATATTAATAAACTTTATTAATTTATTTTTGGATTTTTTTGTAGTCCGAGTATGGAATATGTTGACCGTTGGAATATGGACATTACCTTACCTTAATAATTATTTGTATTAATTAATATTATTAATATTTTTATAACTTGGATTAAATTAAATATTGTAGATTATAATTTAGTTATGGAATAATGTTTATATTTTATATGATGGACTATTAATAATTGTTATAATTCTCTTCTATCTTTTTTTTTTGAAACAAGACCTTTATTGCTTTTTATTGCTTAAAATGTAATTTACCTCGCAAAAAAAATTTTTGTCAAAGTTATAGAAATTTGTATTTTTTTAAAAATGTTTTTATTCTGGTAATTATTTAATTTAAAAAAAATTTTTTTTTGATTTGAAAAATTACAATGTAAAAAAATTTCATATTTATAAAATATCATTATTTGTAATGTATTCTTAAATATATATATATATATTGAGATGTTGTATTGTAGGTGGATTTGGAATTCTATGGACTTAAATGTATTTTGAATTTCAAATAACTTGCGTAAAAAATAAAATGCTAAAAATTACAATCGAAACAAATTTTTAATCAAAAAATTTTAAATTGATGCTGTTTGATGACAACCATTTTCTTAATGACTCTATTTTCTTTGCATTATAAATGATATGTTTTGTTTGAGAATTCCTCATTATCTTTGCAAATTATCGAATCAAGTTAGATTCTAAATTTACTTTATTTGGCAAAAAATCAAAATTATCAATAGATTGCTTCCGGCCGGCTACTCAATCAATGTGATACGTATGAGTCGTTGCATAGCGGGCTTTATTATGATTGGCTGATTTTGAAGATCATCTTATCATAAGAGGATGCATGGGGGTGGTCAGTAGAAACCAAGCAAATTTATCTAATAAATTTGCTTGGTTTCTATTGACCACCCTCACATATTCAGATACTACGTTGGCCATATCATAAGTCATATCTGAGTAAAATGAAAAATAACTTTGGGAAAATGACAGAGCACTTCGTGACGGCCATTTTGGCGACGAGTCTCTGGGAGGTGAACTTTGCTCAAGCCAGTCACGACGGCCATTTGGCGGTGATCTTGCTTGTAATTATAAATGAAAAGGCCAGTATGTTCATGACGGCTATTTGGGCGGTGAACAAACTGAGTTTACTGTCCTCCAAAGAGTTTCATGGCGGCCATTTGGCGGTGACTCTTTGGCTTTACTCTTAATATTCATTTTTAAACTTTATATGTGGAGAAGCAAAGGTAAAAAAAAAAAAAAAAAAAGCATATTTTTAATGGAAAAAAATCGCATAATAAACATCTTTTTTTATTTTAGATAAAATAAAGGCTAAAGCATATGAAGATAGGCCTGGACCGGCTAAGTCAGAAAATGAATATTGGAATAACGAGCTTAAAGAGAGGAATTTGCTAGCCTCTAGACCATAAGATAGCAGTTCCTTCCTGCTATTCTGTATTATTAGCTAAGTTATTATTATTTTTACTATCTATCTATGCACCTATTTTATTTAAAGTACTACCTTTAAAATCACTATTATTATAATAAAAATTTTTTATACAGTAGTTTTTTACTAACTTTTCTATTTCAATACCATGAATTTCAACAGATACTGTATTATACATATCATCTAAAAAATAATTATTTTCTATTATAATTCCATCAATAATAACTTTAAACCAATTTTGGGTTATTGAAAAAATAATAATTGGTTTAAGCAAGAACTCAATAATATATATAAAGGCTATATTAAAATTTTGAATAAAAAAGTTTATACTTCTATACAAATAGTTTTATATATCTTTATATAATTATCTCTATATATCTCTCTACAGTTATCTCTATATATCTTAGTACAAATATCTTTATGATATCTCTATCTTTATACTTATCTTTATCTATCTTTACACTAATTGGTAGCTATTCTATTATATCTTTTATATATAAAAAGTTATAAAAAAAGAGCCTTTTTCTTTTTATTTAAGTTAAAGTTCTCTACTTTTTTATAGAATCTAGCTTTACTCTTTTATCTTTCTTATAATTGTATAGTATAATATTTCTTTTCTAGTATAATTCTTATAAGCAAAGTTATTACTATATAGTGTTTTAATCCTATTTGTTAAAGGCCATCCAAATTGAATTCAGATTTCCTTTTATGTATCTGATTAATAATCTGAATTTAGACAAATTCGAATTCATTCGGATTCATAAAGTGTAGAATGGGTTTTTGGATCCGGTTTTAAATTAAAACTGATAGCAATTTGACTATACCACATACTGTACTATGTACGCATACGCATACGTTCAAATGTATTACTACCAGTTATATGTAATAGTTATATCCTGTGCAGTTGGGTATAAGTGGGGCTGAAAGTCCCGCTTACACACATAGTGCCCAGGGTATAACTGATTTATGCCCTGCGATCTTGATAAGTAACCAGTGTATAAATAATTTA